CTTCTCTCCTTTATAACAACTTTCATTCCTAGTTAGTCACCTCTAACACCGTGTAACATCAAAAACAACATTTTAAATGTTACATTATTTCATCTCTAAGCCTTTATTAACCTTTTGTGTAAACATTTACAACATGTAAATATTTGTCAATCATTTTTAAATTGTTGAAATAAAACCTTAATTTCAAAATAAATAAAAACAATCCAAAGAATACACAAGAAAATATTTAAAGAAAGTGGTAAATTGACTAAATTAATTTACTTTATTTTGGCTTAAGTGTGAAATAATCTTCATTAATATCCATTCCTTCAATCCTTCTACTGGATTGAGAGAACTGAAAGCAAAACTGTGAAACAGGGTTTCACCAATCGTATACTGTATATGAAAGACTATACAGTGAGAAGACTAAATCAAGTCAATTCTGCTTGTATTTCTGCATATCTGCTTGTTTATAACCATGTTTCTCTACCTCAGGATTGAGCTGCGTTCTCTGGGTAAGATTGAAGGGGGAGACGAGCTCACAGTTTCATACGTGGACTTCCTGAATTTGACCGAGGAGAGACAGAAACTGCTGAAAACACAATACTTCTTTGACTGCACATGTGAACACTGCAAGGACCACATCAAAGATGACTTGAAGTTGGGGGGATTGGAAGTGGATGGAGTCAAGGTTTGTGGAGAAGGATTTTATACTGCACAAGGTAGAACAAAACAAAATCCTCACTTTCAGTACTGGCATGGCTGATAAGGACAGAGGAGAAACATGTGAAGCAGAGCAGCAGGTCCTATTTTTAACAAAGATAACTCCCAATGGTATCATCTTACAAACTGTGTGTAAGGTTGTGCATGTACACAAGTGACCAAGTACTAAAACTAAACCTTGATTAACTACACTAACTTTAAAGTAGTAACAGTATTTCAATGCTTTACCACATACCAGGAGTTATTATCTTATCAACTTTATATTTTATAATGTAATTGACATTCAACACCCGATTATAAAACACAATTTAATACATTGAGGCGTGTAAATCAATGCATAACACTGTCATACCATTAAAAAAAGGACATGGCCTTGGATGATACGGCTTGCCTTTGTATATCTGCAAAACATGACCCACACACACACACACACACACACACACACACACACACACACACACACACACACACACACACACACACACACACACACACACACACACACACACACACACACACACACACACACACACACACCCTCTTGTAGCGTGGTTTGTATGTGTGGGTCAGAAACTATTTATAGCATGTGTCAGGAATTATTAAAAAAAAAAAAAGGTTTGGAGTTTAATACTTTATTTTAAGCCAGGAACTGTGTCATATCTGGCTGTCTGATAATGACCGTAATAGAATTGTTTTTTAATGATACACTAAAGGAGATATGGTTGTTATTAGTAACATATTAATTAAGTGTTGGACAGGGCCTCTTCATCAGTTCAAAGGTCTTCAAGATTAAGATCGAATATAATCAGACCTTCACCTTTGCGGAGGGCAAGGCCAACTGGTGTTGCCAATGTGAAAACAATTGCATGTTCTCTTAAAAGATGTATTTGAGTGTGTGAACCCCTGTGTTAAAACTGATAACAGTTCTTGATGCTTTCTTTAAGATTTGATTTGTGTCTTTTATCTTCACTGTTTAGCCTACAGAGGAACAAGTGAAAGAGGCTACAGATTATTGCTTTGAAATGATGGCGAAAATGGAAAAGGCTCGACTAAATGGCAACTACCATGAGGTATTATATCTAATCTCTCACAATACCAAATTCAATGTTTTTCTCCTATATTTCCTACCTACAAGATTTATCCATTGATGTTTATCTTTTTAGGTGGTAAAGATCAGCAAGGATTGCCTGGAGAAGACAGAACCAGTTTTGGCTGACACTCACATTTACCAGCTGCGGATGTGGAGCACGTTAAGTGAGGTGCAAGCTTACCTGCAGTTATTTGATGATGCTGCAGACAATTCCCGCAAAATGGTGGAGGGATACATGTAAGTACAGAGATATTGTGCACTTTGTTGTGCTTTATATGAGCCTTTTGCAATTAATGTTCTATTCAATATTTCAGATGAATAGACGGACTTCTCAATGTAAGAAATTGAGAAACAAATCAAATCTCTTCCCCTGACAGGAAACTGTACCACCCAAACAATGCTGCTCTTGGTATGGCCGCCATGCGATCAGGAGTGACTCACTGGCAAGCTGGGGAAATAGAGGTCGGCCATGGCATGGTCTGCAGGGCCTACGCCATTCTCATGGTCACCCACGGCTCAATGCATCCCATCACCAAGGACCTGGAGGTAAACACCGTAAAACCTCATAATCCGTATACAAAACTGCATTTTGATGTTGTGAGCTGGTCTTTGGCTCCTTTAAAATGTTATTGAAAGCGAAATATAGTTTAAAGGTCCCCTATTATACTGTTTTTCATCTATATATTATAGGTCTCAGATATACAAAACATGTCTCTGAAGTGTTTGGCTTGAAATACCAAACAGATAGTGCATTGTAGCATCCCATAAACCCCTCTGTTTCTGTCCTGTTTCAAAAGTGCTGATTCTGGGTCTGTTGAAATAAGGAGCCCCTCCCCACGCCCCTCTGAGAGATATTTAGTTAAAAAGCCCACAATGGTGCTCTAGGAGGAGATTCAGGTGATAAAGTGGGCGGGGGTTACCTTGGTTGGTGATTGGCTAATGGTTACACAAGCCAAAAAATCATTATGACATCATAAAGTGGCCAAAATCTGATCAGCTCATTTTCAGACAGGTTTTTATATACTGTAAATGGATCAGGACAAAAAGTGAGCGAATCTTTTTTCCTGGAACTTTCAGAATCTCTTTACACAGAGGGGACACATGTTTATGTATAAAAGACATGAAAAAGTGGATTCTGCATAATAGGTGACCTTTAAAGCTGAAGGAACCGGTTTCAAATGTGCATTAATCATATAAAAGCTACTCATGGGGGAACATTTTAAGAGCTAATATGTCCTTTATTATATTTTTACAGGCAATGCGTATGCAGACAGAGATGGAGCTGAGGATGTTCAAGCAGAACCAGTATGTCTACCACAGTATGAGAGAGGCAGCACTGAAGAACAAACCGATGACCATGATGCAAGAACCCAAGAATATGGAGGAGGGAGTCAAGAACCTCTTCCACCGGAGGAAGTGATTAAGCAGATGAAGGAAAAACACCCCACTGTTTACCGTTACGTTTTCTGAGTGTCAGTGTGTGAGTCTACACGTTTAGTCACATGATCATTTTCTGTTTCACTCAATTTTGTAGTTACGCTTTTCATTAAAAAGATGTCACATCGAACTTGTGTAGTATTTTTCTTGTCTGATATCATTTCAGTACTCTTCCCTCTTAAAATAAACAAAGCTGGTTATACATTTGGCACTTTGCTTAACCAAGACATCTCAAAAAACATCCTACTCAATGTATAACAAATATTCTACTCCCCTAAGGGAAAAAACCGAGTCAATCACATCCCTCACTTAGGCAAAACTGCTACTTCTTATTTGAACTTTTTCAGAAAACGTTTTAGTTTTTGATTCAGTCGGCACCATTCAAATATACATTTGAAATGCAAATTGTGCAAACATTTGATTATTCTCTTTAAATAACAGGAACTTACATTTCAGTGTAAAATTCTTAATAGTAAACATCAAACATAGCCTTTATACAAATGACAGTTGTTTCAAGTTAGGCTAATGGTTCATATCAGTAAGGTTCCCCCCACATGTATTTGTGTTAATGTAGGCCCTGTGGAACGTTTCCTCATAAAGCCATTAATACTTTAGCCCTGCTTTCTGAGAGTAGATACATCTTAACCAGGTTTCAGCAGGCGCACTCAAGCCTTGGCAATGCAATATCTTGGTTGAGGGTTATGTACAACAACAGGTAATACACTGTAGAAATACATTACCAGTATGTCACACTTTAACAGTTTAGGCAAAGCTGTAGACCAGCCAAATGCCACAAGTCTTTTAATTATTACCATGGACACAATTAAGGTTTTATTGAGATATGTAATAAGTTTCTTCAGTTTCAAGATTTTCAATGCAAAACAAGTGATCGACATTCTGTAGATTGATTCTCTACACTCTTGTTGTGAAGAATACCAGTGGTGACCATTTTTAAATGCACTTTGCCCAGGGAAGATACAGTATGGATGTTACTTTATAGCCCTGTTTGAGAAAGATTGCATGTTCACACAAAGTGGGCAGATTCCTTCATCATTTACTGCAAGAAAAATGAAATGTATATCTAAATTTAAAAGGATGATAATGGGAAATAAAACACTTCCACTTAAGGGCTCTACATACAAATAGAAAAAAAGCAGAACAGGCCGAAAATATTTGTACAGATTTGAAATATGTTCTGGGATGAGCTTTGAGAAGCCAGTAACAGTGCAAACTGGTTAATGCCAGTGTTTGACAACTAAGGCCTCAGAGATACTTAGCCCTTTGTAGCCTCTGAGTTATCTATGGCTTCAGACAGCTGCTGGATTAAGTCATAGCTAAGGCGGTGACCCAACTCCATGTGCAGCTCAAAACACTGTTATCTTTAGCCGGTCTCCCTGCACTTTGATTAGCTTCTACTGCATGGCATTGCCCGATCAATATTTATCTTGTGATCTTTTTAGCTTTCCACTTTAGTTTTTTGAATTGGCCCCATGACTGACAATTTCCTTTTTACTGCAAGTGTGAAACGCAAACATGAGCCAGGTGCAGAAGTGAACATTTGTCAGATTTCTTACTAACACAAAGGCATTACTGTAGGTTCTCTTAGCACATTAGTCTCAAAATGTAATTTGATTCAGTAAAACTAAGCAGGCCGTCGAAGTGACATTTAGAAAGTTAGTTGTTGTTACCCTTTGGAAATTACTCATGACCTGCATCATCAAACTCAACATTTAGGGGAATTTTAGGTTAAATAAAGCAAGACAGCTGTTCCTTTTTTTTTTACAACATTTTATTATCCCAAAGTACAAATATTTATATGCGTTTAATCGTCCTCTTGTACACGATGCCGGCAACTGTCATAGTCTGGAGGAAGGGAGAAAACAAAGAGAAAGATTCCCATTTAAAAACAAGGGTCATTGAATACTGATGCAAAAAATGTGGCATCTTTGTCTACTCACATTGAGAATAGTGTTCGCATCCACCATTTCTGTGATAGACTCGATTCCCTTCAGGCAGACTTTCAGCTTGTTGCCTTCACGATGAACCACCGACTTTAAAAAAAAGCATAATGCAATAAGTTTCAATCCGAGATGCTTACACAAATCTTGACTAATGTGCAAGACAATGGTCAAGAGTTAATGACATTAATCTGCCATTATCTCATTGAAGATGCATTTAGGTGTCCTGTCTTACCTTGACCTTCTCCCCGGTGACTGTCTCCAGCTCTGCCTCCTTCCCAATAGTGAAGGAATTGACGAGGACCTTGGAGCCCGTGGTGACTGTCACTTTAAAGTGGTCCCCATTCTCCTCAATCTCAGAGATGCTCTTGATGTCTTTGCCTTTCTGGATGAGTTCATCAGGGAGCCCTAAGAAAGAAAAGCAACAGTTTTATAAACACAACATTAACAATAACTTTATTTGCCCAGTTTCATAATCACAGTGTTAACGCCTTTAAAACGTTGTGAAAGAAAGTGGGGATCTCACCAATGGCCTTCATGAACGGCTCAAAGTTCTCCTGAGACTCCAGCTGGTACCTTCCAGAGAAAGACATGGTGACAGACAGTGATGGTAAGAAGAAGCAGTAGTTTGTTGCCTACTTTATACTCTCAAACTTCAGCGTGCAATCATTAACCCTATGGAGTCAATAATAAAGGCAACTTAGCCCTCCTAAAGATTCACCACCACAGATAAGTACTGACAGAGAGATAGAGAGGTACATGGTGTGACTGAAGCTAGGTCATCCTTAGTGCAGCCGAGAAGATACTGAACTGTGTATGCAATGTTTTGAAGTCAAAATGCCTGCGTAGTAAAATAATGTAATGATATAATTCTAAGTGACTCTAACATATGGAACATGGATGGTACCCCTGATAACTGCTGACACTGTCAGGGTTCAGATTGCTGCGTTCTTCTTCCATCCTCCACTTGTTGTTCCTTCTTTTCAACACTTTCTCTCAATCTTTTCTCCCTCCTCTCTTTTGTCTTCACTTACAATCCTTTCATGTCTTCCCTTCTCTCCTTTGTTCTGCAAGACGATTTGCACTGTTTTTCCAGTCCTTTTTATTGCAAATCTATGAATCTTATAGAAAATATGTTATCCTAAATGTCATTGGTAAAATATACTAGTTAGTTTGCATGCATGCAATTAAAACATGCCAGGGAAAACGGTTACCTTAACAGATCATGCCAAAAGAAGAAATTATTAAACCTTCAAAAGATGACAATCAACATAACAGGATCCTCAGTTTAGGAGGTTAACAATAAATTAAAGTAACTTCTCAGCATAGCTTTCATGTAATAGTATTTCTGTTCTAATATAGATGTGAAAAATGCAGAAAAAGTATATAATATAATATATATTTTCAGTTGTATTGATGGCTGGTATACAACCCGCCTGGGGTTCATAGTGGTGTCAACAGTGTGAACTGTACTCTACAAATGATTACAAAGGTACTTTGGTACTCAGTAACGAGGTCACTATTCAAGATAAGATTCCTGAAATAAAAGATCTCTCACATAGCTGACAATTAAACAAAATATCAATCATGATCTAATCATTTGTCATCAGTATTTTTAATTTAATATTTTAAATGTGTTTGCCATTTAATGTACATCAAAAAAGCAGCTTATGTTTAAAAACAAAGCTGACAGAAATGGATCAAAGGTGACGAACATACGAGATAACCCTGTTGCAACAGTGATATGTCACTGGAGTTGCCATGATACACACACACACACACACACACACACACACACACACACACACACACACCACACACACACACACACACACACACACACACACACACACACACACCCACACACACACACACACACACACACCACACACACACACACACACACACACACACACACACACACACACACACACACACACACACACACACACACACACACACACACACACACACACACAGTCATGTGAGGATCCTGTGGATTCACACTTTAACAGGATTATGCAAAGCCAAAAATGTGAAAAGATAAAGACGGTTGCAGTCTTTGAGTGTTTGGTGATAGTGGTGTTGCATTGCAGCCTGATAAGCTTTCTGCTGACTTGTTCTTTACTGAATGGAAACAATGATTTTGAGTGTTTCATTCTATCCTTATCTGCAGCTATGTTTTCCACACACGTTTGATTCAGGTGCCTCTAAAATAAAGAGAAACAACGTTTTATACTTTCTCAAAACTTTATTTCAACATGCAAGTATCTGGATGACCACTGTCAGTTTTCATCCCTATTTTCATACAAATATAGTGACAAAGGCACTCTACAGACATACTCCAGAGGAAAGAGCAAAATGACAAACAGAACTACAACTTTGAACTACAACAACAAGTCCCATTTCCTGTGAGGCTTGGGTGTCAGGAGCAGCTCATTGGTGAACTCGGTGAGAAGTGTGACCAGCCAGATGCAGCAGCCTGAGGAAGAGGTCAGTGGGGTCGCTGCCTTCGAACTGGCTGCTTTGGTCGTCTCCTTCCTCCTCCATGAGGCACGTTTGGTCTGTGGTGCAGCTCTCTGTGGCAGGGTTTGGAAATAACGAAATAAAGAAGGAGTTATCACTGAGAACATGGTGGTCTGTTGTTGCAAATACACACTTATAATATGCTGTTATCAGGTTTTATGACCCGGGACCATAACCTTTTTCAGATCAAAAGGGCAGATGATTATAAAAAAGTCACAATGATTAAGTTAGCCGACCTCAAATGCAACTACACTATGCTGCCAATTTAAACACATTTGCAGATGTGTTACAATGTACCTTAATAGCTCAAGTATGTAACACAATAGAAAAATACTAGAAAATCAATGGACAATATTCAGGTATTTCAATGTAATGCTACTTTGTACACCTTACTTATTACATTTTTTAAATATGAACAGGGCATTAAATACATTGTTACGCAATAAATCCCCACCTAAAACCATATGAAACAACAAGAATCAGCTCAGTTTTGGTCAACTACACTAAGAAAACTGAAACGTTGACTTTGATTAAATGTATGATGTCAACACATTTCACATAACTGTATTAAGTTAGTTGAAATACATTATATTAAGTTGAACCATATATATTTTTTAAACCTAATATTATTAATTTCAACTAACATAATATAGTTATGTGAAATCTGCTGACAGGATCATTTAATCAAAGTCAACATCTTTTTCAGTGACCATTTAAATGCTGTAACATACTGTATTAATACAATATAACAGATTCTCTGACCCACTTCGCATACTGGTACTTTTACTTACAATTTTTTAATAAATATTGCTAATAATATTTTTTTCAGTTTAGCTTCAATTTTGAAAGCAGGACTATGCTACTTTTACTCAAGTCAAGCATCTGATAGTTTCTTTCACATACTGTCTGAACACACTCTAGAGGACATCCTGACCTGCATCACAGCAGAGTCCTGAAGCAGCGCAGCGTCCTCCCTCAGATCCACAGGGTCTTCCTCCCGCCTGGCAGGGGGTCAGCAGGTAGTTCTCCTCCACACAGTGAGCTGTCTCCGGAGACCCCAGCAGGCAGCCCAGGCCCTCCCCGCAGCAGATGCTGGGGCCGAAGCAGCGGCCCCTGTCTCCGGGGCCACAAGACATGCACTGGGGAAGGAAATGCTATTATTGCCCTTATTTATCATGTATGTCAAATAAATGTATTACTGTGCAGAGCATATTTATCATGGGATTATGTGTCAGAGAATCTCTAAAGACAAATTCAATGTGTTTGAGAAGCTCAGCTCTTTTATGTAAGATTCAAATAAAAACATTTATTTGAGATATTTTTGACAAGTAGCCAAGTAGGATTCATTAAGTGTAATTTTCCTGAAGTTATTTTTTTCAAAATCATTGCATTACTGTCTGTCCTGGAAATGGGAAATTGGATCTCACGGTTAAAGGTTGAAACTAATTGTGAGGAGAGAAGGGGTTTTATTGTACAGATAACACCATTTTAAGTGTGACTTAAAATGTACTTGACTTAAAAAAAAAAACTGCATTTTATAATCTAATGTTATTAAATCGGTAAAAACAGCTCACCTTTCGCTGCGACGCGTCCATGATGGACCTCTTCCCACCGATAGGACAGTTGGAGATGTAACACGCCGAACATACAGACAGGAGGAAGAGTAGGCACATGGACACTGCGGCTCCAGTCATTTCTGCTGAGAGAGACAAGCATTAGGAAAAACTGGTTTATACGGAAATAAACCAAACAAAAAGTCCACTGACCACAAATATAAGTTAGAAATCTACTAATCTGCATGAATAAAAGCATACTTATTTCTCAGTATCTTGAGGAAGAGAAGATTTGAAGAGTTGGTTTCAGATGCTTCTGGATGCTTCTTCTGTTCTCGGTGCCCTCGGACATGTCTTATATACTTTCAGAGCTTTTTCTGAGAGTGACACAGAGACCTAACAGCCACTTAGAGATCCTTAATGAGCCCATTTCAGTTACTATCACCTCCGGAAATAAAGCTGACCACTGTGCAGGCCGGGTCAAAAGGGCCACGCAGTTCTGTGGCCTCGTTTGCTTCTTGCTGTTGAGAATCATTAGAGAAGGGCTCGTGGTGCGTGACCGTGCATGTTAGAGATGACAGGAGAGTCAGAGAGGTCAGGAAATGAGTAGGGAGATGGAATTATTAAAAGCATTAATGGACAAGAGAGTATAGTCCAACTTCTGATCTGCTTGTTTTAAAAAAAGGATTTATATTAAGGATTCTATTGTAAAGGGTGTATTTTACAGGGCAGATGGGGAAAAGTGAAAAAAGCTGGTTTTCAAATGTCAGAAGAAGTTTTTCTTTGATCCTCGGACCTCGGCCTTCTGAGAGCGGCTATGTTTGCTAAGGGCTGAGATTTTGGTTTGTTTGTTAACAGACACAATGATTAAATAAAAGACATACTGTAGCCTACACACACCTACAAATATTCTTTTTTATTAAAAGAATCTTAATTTTTCACGGGACTTGACGCACACATTGTCCAGGTCTGAGGTTAATTGGTCTCATGAGCTAATTAAGACGGCTAATGATCGGACACAACCCATAAAAGACAGTTTCACCGTTTCAATGATATGAGCTCAATTACTGCTCCTCCCTCCTTATCTGCTAACTGCCACCTCATCTCAATTAAAAATAATTGAAAAACTTGTCCTTGTTCTCCAACTTCTGTGCTAAAACGGGGATTGGGACTTTGAGTCGTTATTTAGATTCCACCCAAACTGATAGATGGCAAAACTTAACTATAGTCACCATGTGAAGACAATTTGTTGACAAGTTTGACAATGGCACACTCTTGCCTCCTAGTGGTTGTGTTATCACATTTAACCAATGCGTTCATGTTTCATTGTCTTTCATCGCAGGGGGTAGACAAAATATCAGACAAAAGAAACATAAAATAATAAATATAAAAAGAAGAAAGACCGAAACATTGAACATCCAAAGTTTCACGGAGATAGTGTTGTTTAAGTGTTTTTGCTTTATAGCAAGGCCCTGTATGATATGCACCAAACTGCATTGGTTTTTTTGTGCAACATCAAATCTCACCATTTCTCCAAAAGCTGAGCAAATCCCTGTTTCATATAGAAATGGAGATGTCTATCTAGTGTTTCCTTATTTTTCTGCAGGAAGGCACTAGGCTTGTTGACTTCCTCTCCCCTCCCTTCCTTCCTTCTCTCCGAAGGTACTCATCTGAAAAATGAGAACAAAGTGATTGTTCCTGTTCTCTTTCTTAAGTCACTTCAAATGCTATCCGTGGACACGCGGCTCATTGTCAGGAGAGTTGCAGTGCGAGCAGGAGGCAGAGAAAAGCAGGTACAGCAGCAGCAGCAGCAGCAGCAGCAGCTGCAGCAGCCGTTCAACAAACAGCATCACAGAAAACACACTCTGCTACACTCAGCTGGTAAGTTACACACACACACACACACACACAGACTTTTGCTGCAGCCTCACAAAAACACACACTTACTTACACTGGCTGGCATATAAGGAGGGGCTTCGGGTTTTAATGGATTGTTTGGAATGCATGGTGTGGCAAAGTATCGCCCGGGGTCTCTACACAGTGCACCTTCAGTGATAGAGGTGAAGAGGATACATGATTAAAGATCAAATTAAATCCAGGAGAGTGTTAGAAACTGACTGAAAGGGATCACTGAACATTTCAGCATACATCTGGAATGGTTGAAACATCTTTGTAAGAGGCACAATTATATTATTTTATTATATATTATTGTTATAATACTGATTATGCATTTACATTGTGTCTCTGTAATGTGTATTTTCATAGTTTATTGATAAAGAGTGGATTGTTTTTAGAGTGTGTGTGTGTGCACTGATTGCATTGAAGCCTTTTAAGTAGGTTTATGCTGAAATGAAATGACTATGAATAACAGAATGTGAATTTGTTTGTATTCTCTGCATCTATTTTCATCTCAACATCTTCCAGAACTTTATCCTCTTAAATTGTTATCATAATTTTTTTGACATGAAATAAAGATGATTTAATCATCATATACTTTGAGTTAGTATTTGAAACTGGATGCATACTGAACATTACAAGAGTTGAAATAGTGGATTCATTGATCAGCCAATTGACAATAAACGTACTCTTTTAGTCATTTTATTTAAACCTTTTTTATAAACAGGTAGCCTCGTCGAGATTGGGATCTCTTTTTATAAAAGACAAAACAAACATATGCAGTTAAAGCATAGACAGACCAATATATAAATAACAGACATATAATACATCTAAAGTTACAAACAAATCATTTAATTATTATTTCAAAATACCTATTTCTTGAACTGTATTTTTGAAAACTGTATGAGCATCATTTGGATTTATTCTGGCCAAACTCATCGACGAAATAATCTTTACTTGCAGCTTTACATACAATGCCTATGATTATATAAAGAATACTTGCAACAACCAACATAAATAAAAAAATACAACATGTAGCAGACAATAAAGTAGAATTAGCGGTCATGCTACAGTGTATTGATCTCAGCAGTTTCTCACTGATAATCTCTAAGCTATTACAGTAATAGAATAGATACGTACAACATTGAACACACTTGATAAGTCATGCAGAAGTAAGGCAGTTCCCCTCTGAGTATCATCTCCTTTTTACCCATAACAGTTATCTACACTACAGTATGCAAAACAAAACTGCAGTCGAGATGTTATTTATAGCTATATGACATCTAAACAGTTTTCAGTCATTTAATCGACGTCAGACTTTAGGCGGCTCACAGTGATACCGGTAAAATCACCATGTACAGTAGCGTTATCAGTGGAGGAGAAAAGAGGAAGTTCTTCCAGGTCATCAGTTTAAAAAAGATGAACAGAGCAGAGAGAAAAGATAAGGAGAAGCGAAAATGGTATGGGAGGTAGAGGTGAGCATATCACACATAACTTCCTACTTTCAGGAGAGGAGGAGATCTGTGAGAAAGAAAGAAGTGAAAGGTTTCAGGTCGAACACTGAAAGGCGCGGGTGTCAACACACAAAACTGTTTGTGTGCCCGTTGAACATTTCTTAAACAGATACCTTCAGAGAAACAGTTTCATATCCTGAATAGCAACCAGACACAAAGTCATACCTGTGTCGATTCTTTTTCTAAGGCTAAAGTAAGATTTTATGTAAAAAGACATATTATAATATGAAATATGACATATATAAATACAAAATATCTGATAAAATTACTTTTTGACATCCAAAGAGGTCAAATCTTATATTTCACAAGAAAGCAAAGATGCAGTCCAAACATTGAAAAATACAAATGTGTGTGTACATACATCTAAATTAAACCAACTACACTTGATTTGGAACAACAGGAATATAGATATGAAACAAATATAAAACTAGTTCTTCTAATTTTCTTGCCCTAATTTTCAACAGTACAATTTTGCTTGCGTATTAATAAACAATCTAAAACTGTAATATATATAATATAAAACATAATGTATATTATATTAAAGGATAAATGGGGCTATTTCACTGCAGAATACTTCTGAACTTTTACTAAAGCATCCTTTGAATACTGAACATGATATTGCAATATTTTTCTACTTGATAATTAATCTGAAGGCTTTGTCCTCACCATTATAACCACTTCTTTTACACCTTTTTCTTCAGGGAAAAGATGGAAACAGACCAGGGGATTTTCTCACCAGCAAGAAGTCCTTTTCTCAGAGATGAGCAAAGAGAAAGGTCTCAGCACAGTTTCTATCTAAGCTCACCTCAGCTCTACATGAAGCCCCCAAAACTCTCCCCTCCCAGATACCCCAGCATATCACCCAGCAGAGACACCTACAGTGTGTTCAGCCCCCCTGCTTTCTTTCCCATGCTTGGCCCCAGTTTTGCCCAAAAGGAAGGATCCCAAAAACGCAAAAGAACTCCTTTCAAAATGGACGCCCGTGGAGCTGAATCTCCTGACAGAGGAGCAGAGGAGGCAGACGAAAGCAGCAGTAAGAAGGCGGTGCACTTGACCCACGTCCCCTTCTCCTTCCCACCTCGCCCCATTCCTTCCCCATCGCCTAAGCCCATCCCTGGAATGATCGAGCTAAACAAACTGCAGCTTCATCACAGGTCACCAGGTATGAGTCTACCTGTGCAGGTGAAGCAGGAGCCTCTCAGCCCTTCCCCTGTGTGGCCTTCCTCTCCTCTCCTCCTCCACCCTCCCTACTTCCCACATCTCCACCACAGCCTCCTCCCATACCCCTTCTTCATGCCCAGCCCAGTCATGCACTTCCCCGCTGGTTCTTTCTATCCAAGAGAGAACCCCCGCCCTGGTCATCGCGGCCGTGACGAACCTCCTCGCAGTGGGACGACCAGTGCTGAAAAGCTCGGTTTCAACGTCCATGTGGACGATAGTTATTATGTAGATGTGGGTGGAGACCAGAAGAGATGGAAGTGTCGTATGTGTGAAAAGTCCTACACCTCCAAGTACAACCTGGTTACACATATCCTGGGGCACAACGGCATCAAGCCGCATGGATGTCACCTGTGTGGGAAACTTTTTAAGCAGCTGAGTCACCTGCACACACACCTGCTTACCCACCAGGGCATGAGGCCCCACAAGTGCCAGGTGTGCCACAAGGCCTTCACTCAGACCAGCCACCTGAAGAGACACATGATGCAACACAGTGACGTCAAGCCGTACAGGTAGTTGTTCAGTTGCTTGTGCTTTTATTTTTAACTATTGTCTTTTTTATTCTAATCCTTCATACATTTTATCCTTACCTCTAGCTGCAATGTGTGCGGCAGAGGTTTTGCGTACCCTAGTGAGCTTCGTGCCCATGAGCTGAAACATGAGAAAGGACAGGAGAACGTTTGTGTGGAGTGTGGTCTGGATTTCCCCACACTGGCCCAGCTGAAGAGGCACCTGACCGTTCATCGCGGTCCCACTCTGTACAGGTGAGAGCAAAACCTGTTATTTGCATTGCCTTAATATCTCAATGACTGAATTGCTAAAGCAATAGTTGGAAATACCCACTCTAATGTTATTGTTGAGAGTCAGATGGTGTCTGAATTTGAAGCTACAGCCAGCAGCCAGCAGCAAGTTAGCTCAGCTTAGTATATAGATATAA